TTCGATCAAGTTTGGCAAAAAGTGCAGTATGGAGGATCAGGTGGTCACTATGGTTATCCTTAATATCACTTCAGAAGGGTTTGAAGATAAGTACCTTGGCTTACCGGTACCTGAGGGTAGAATGAAGGTTGGTAAGTTCCAATCAACAAAAGACAAGGCATTAAAAATAGTTTCAGACTGGATTGAAAAATATGTCTCCAGTGGTATAAAGGAAAATCAAATAAAGGCAGTTTTGCAAGCGCTCCCAGTGTACGCCATGGGTATTTTTAAATTTTCAGCTTCATTATGTGATGAATGATCTCAGATTAAAAGAAACTTCTGGTGGGGGGACGAAGATGACAGAAGGAAAACTCATTGGCTAGCTTGGGATAAACTCACAAAACCTAAAAGAGAGGGAGGCATGGGTTTCCGAGATCTTAGATTGTTTAATCAAGCTATCTTGGCTAAACAGGCTTGGAGGTTGCTAGTGAATCCAGATTCTTTATGTGCTAAGGTTTTGAAGGCGAACTATTATCCTAATGGTCACATATTGGATACTGCTTTCCCGCAGGCTACCTCCGTGAATTGGCAAGGCATTGTGCACGGATTGGATTTGCTAAAAAAAGGGGTCATATGGAGAGTGGTCGATGGAAAAAATGTTAATATTTGGAGAGATAATTGGCTACCTAGAAATTCTGGCCTCAGAGTTTTAGTCAAAAAGGACCGCACTAGACTGAAATGGGTCTCTGAATTATTCATAAGCGGAACAAGAAGATGGGATGAAAATTTAATCAGGCATCTATTCTATAACCATGATGCTGAGGAGATCCTAAGGTTACGTATTTAGACTATAGGTGAGGGAGGTCTAATCGCTTGGCACTATGAGAAAAATGGCATGTTCTCGGTTAAAAGTGTGTATAAACTGACTTCACACCTTCAGGATGGCAAGGAAAGAAGTGTGTGGGATGTTATTTGGAAAGCCAAAGTCCCGCAAAAATTAAGAATTTTTGCCTGGCGAGCTGCGTCTAACAGTTTGGCGACCCAGGTAAACAGAGTTATTCATCACTAAACGGTGTCAGGTATGTGTACTATATGCGGGATGGAGGATGAAAGTACTTTCCATGCCCTTGTGTCTTGCCCAAAGGTGCGTGCGTTTCGTTTTGCTATGAGAGAAGAGTGGAATATTCCTGCCGAGGAGCTTTTCAGATTTACGGGGCCGGACTGGATGTTTATTCTGCTTGATCAATTGGGGTCGCCAGAACATGATCAAGTTTTATTCATGCTTTGGAGAGCTTGGCATCTCAGAAATGATATGATCTTCGGGAAGGGGAAAGAATCCTGACGTGCTTCTGTCACTTTTGTGGGAAATTACTGGAAATCTTTCACAAATGTCAAAAACTGTGCGCAAGTTGACTTAAGCATCAAAGGTAAGGGGGTGATTGATAATGGGAGGTACATCATACCAATCGCGAAGGCTCATCGTAATTGGGAACCACCGGACCAAGGGATAAACGTTGATGCTAGTTTTGTGGAGAGCATGAGATCTGCCAGCATTGGGATAATTGCCAGGAATCACCTTGGCGAAGTCCTGGTTTCCTCATGGGATTTTATCGGGTCGTGCACTTGTGTGGATAAAGCAGAATTTCGTGCGGCGCTTGCTGGGTTATATATTGGTATTACATTTCATAGTCCTGTTATTTTGGAGACTGACAGCGCGGCTGTTGCTTTTTCTCTGGCAAAAGATTCTTTTGACAGGTCTCTTTTTGTGGACCTGAAAAAGGAGGCGATGAGTGTCTCAAACCTCATTAAGGATTTCAAGATAGTGAAGATTGACATGCAGGTAAATAGGGTGGCGCATGAGATTGCTAAATTTTGTTTTGATAGTAGGTCAGACGGTGTTTTATGTAATAGTGTTCCGCCCTGCGTGGCTAGATTTGTAATGAATGATTGTAAGAATTTTGTTATTTCTGATTAATATATGGGGGGTTTTAAAAAAAAACCTGTCGATGCCTTCCTACTCATGTGTCTGGCGTAGGTGTGCTGCCCCTTGCTTGGGCTGGGCCTATATCTGGTGCGGACCTTTATTTTCTTCGGCCGTTGGCTGCATTTTCTCCTTTTCTTTTTCAAGTCTGTGCCGTGACTCACTCTAATTCTTCTAGTTTTTGTACATTTCCATTCAGCACCATTTATTTCTTTTTCTTTTTCAGTGTCTGTTATTTCCTTTTTGTTTCATTATTTATTTTAAATTATGAACTATCTTAAATACATTTTTGTTTTATTTCCATTTTCTATTTTCTCATTATATATTCCTTTTTATTATTTATTTATTCACTTTTAATTAATGAACTTTTTTCACTCACATATTTTCGCTTTACAATGTCGTGCAAATCTTGATCGCATGTTGCTTTTTCGTGTGCGCCCCATGTCGTGGTTAATAAAACAAACAACTAAACTACGCTGGACTGAAAATTTAAAGAAACAGAGCTAGGACAAACAAACAATGAACATCCCTAAAAAACGAACAATGCTAGATTAAAAAAAATGATACAATGATGGGCAGAAAATTTAAAGAACAAACGGGGAGAAAGTTGTGGCCACAAATAGGATGACATCATCTTAGATGTAACATAATATCTCACATCTAGACGAGATATGGTGAGACCCATACATGTAATATGATACATACAAATACCCTTCCCATCCACGTACCACTTGTAGCAAAGCTGCCTAGGCTGCTATAAAAGCAAGGCATCGATGCCAAACAAGCACATCTCGATCAATAGTTTGCCCTGTGTTTGTGTCCCCACTAATGCATGTCGACGAGGCTACATCTACAGCACATTCTAACCAGTCGATGCACCCGCGGGCGGCCATGATGATTGTCACTGGACCGAATTGAATTGTCGGCAGGGCATCCTAGGCTTGTAGGCTCCCATCTGACGCACGCAGTGCTTGTAGTTGCAGAGCGGAGCATGGACCGCGAAGCATGCATACAAGGCCAGAGCTCCAAGAATCTCCGGCTGCCGGTGCTCCGAGCCGCGGGTGCACACAATCTTGGAACTGTCGGCGCAACCCAACTCGCGCTCGTTTACAGGGCCGCTTGGGCCTTCAGAAGAACGCCTAGCCGGCGGCTAACCGCCGTCCGCTGAGCGACAACACAGCGGCATGTACGGGACGGAGCATGGACCAAAACAGCCGCCTTCCACCGGCCAGCCTTCCCCACGGCAGAAGCCAACAAATCGGCAGGTTAGCCGGTGGCCCGCGAAAGCTTCGATCAGCACGAGCGGGCGGCAGACGAAACGAAACGATCGCGATCCGCCCGTGCTCCTCTACACCTAGCCAATTCCACACACAGCGAGCGCGCGCGCGCGGCACTCACCAAACGGAGCCACTGGCGTCTGTCTCTAAACGGCTAGCGTAGGTATAGCTACAGCTACAGGGGCGACGGCCTTTCCAGGGGGTCATTATGCTTTGCTTCAGAGGGCGTGTATACCATACATGGCCGCAGCGCATGCTGAAAGGAACTGGACGGGGAAGGAAGGCTGAAGCGGACGAAAGCGCTCGTGTCAAAAGCTCAATGAATCAAACCAGAAAGTCCCGTCAGCCTTTGCTTGCTAGATGAGGTAGTACATGTGGGGAATATATATAAAAATAAAAATAAATATAATCATGGACGGTACCGCGATCGACGATGGCTGCACAAGTACGTCTTGATACACAGTAGTAGTAGTGTACTACTGGACTGTACTCTACCGAAATCATTAGACGAAGCCAATTCTTGTCAGCAGTGATGAGTTATGGCACCGGGAGTTTCAGTCAGACGAATTCACGCGCATGCTGAAACCGAGCTGCTCCTGCGGTTGTTCCGGGACGGTTTTGGTCATGCTGCCAGCCTGACAACTTCATGCCCGTCCCCACGGTCGGTGGTTGCAATGGAAGCTCCCCAAGCAGCCGCGAATCTCGGTAAGATCCAATGATCCTCGGCCACGACCTGTGTTTTTCTTCTAGGCTTCTACTACTAGCTCGTCCCCCACTTTCCTCGGTTCGCTGTTGTGCTGGAGACGGCACTATTGGCCAGCGTCCCATTACTGTTGGCGATATGTTCAGATTTGACACTGACGAAATGCGATCCCCATCGTATCTTTCTCTTCTCTTCCACACCCGCAAATCCCACATAGTACACCTCCAGATTTGATCGGCGGCCATGTTTTCGGTTCACTATCTACCAAACCCAGAGTTAAGTTCCCCTCCGATTCCTTCCGCCGCGCGTGCAAAATCTCTCCACGTCGCCGCCGATTCCCGACAGGCCCTGCCAGTTAAACTCCCTGGCTGACAGCCACGCGCCAACAGTGCACCGCCACCGGGTGAGGTGGAAGAAAAAACGAGGTCGGGCAGGAACAAAATTTCTTTTCTTTTTTCCGATTGATTTGATTGACAAGAACAAATTCAGATATCGCGTCGTCTCACCCCCAACCTGGCTCGTGTAGTCACCCCGTGGGGCCCGCGAGCGGTCTGGTCCGAAGTCTGAACCCGCTCGTGTGCGAACACGCCAACAGCTCAGCTCTTCATTTACTTTCTACTACCAGCTTCTTCTTCTTCTACTACTACTTCCAGGCGAGGCCGCGACGACTGACGCGTCATCGGCTCCCCATTCATTGCGCTCCCGTGGGAGACCACCTGGTTCAACCCGCCGAAATGGCTCACCTGAATTCACAGCCGCTGGTAGTATTCCTCCTGCGATCGTCGTAGCTCAGCCTGTCTCCGCGCTGACTGACTCGCGGGGCCCACGCGAGGCCGGGGCCCGGGGGTCAGCGGGACGGGATGTGCGAGAAAGCGAGCCTTGCCTGCATCGCACGCCGTCGCCGCTATCGGCCAGCCAGCCTCACTCCCCCCTCCCTACAATACAAAGAGCACGAAACTGAAGCAGCGACGCGAAAAAAGGTTTCGAAAAATCAGAATCCATGGGAATTTAGATTAGAATTACTTACAGGGGTTTCGAACTCTCCGCGGCTGCTGCGCCCATGGGAACGACGAGGCCGGGTGCGCGCGCGGTGCTCGCTCTGGTGCTCTGCGAGCTACTGCTGCTGCTGTCGCCGTCGGCGGCGGCGGCCGACGGCGGTGGTCTGCCGCGGCGGTCGCTGCACCAGCCCTTCTTCCCGATCGGCTGGTCCCCGCCGCCGCCGGCGTCTGCGGATGCGGCCGCCCCTCCGCCGCCGGCTGCCGCTGCGGCCGCGACCTCGGGCCCCGCGCGGTCCGCGCCCAGCGTCACCAACATCGTCGCGATCGCGCTCACAGCGGGCCTCGTCGCGCTCGCGGTGGTTTCCTACTCCTGCGTCCTCCTGTGGCGCCGCGTCGCCGAGGGCGCGGAGGACGACCGTGCCGCCGCGAAGCCGGCGGGGGCCCTTGCCGCGAGAATTCCGAGTGATGCCGGGAGCAGCGCCCGGCACCAGACGTCGCCGCCGCCCAGCTCCACCGCGTCGGACGCGATTTACCTGGACCCTCTCACCGCGGTGATGGAGGTGCGCCACCACCGGTCCAGCCCTGACCTGCGCCCTCTCCAGCTGCAGAAACAGCCCAGCCCTGACCTCCGCCCGCTGCCGCCGCTGAAACGGATGGGCGCGCAGCCGACGCCGCCGCCCGCGGCCACGCCGCCTATGACCGGCACGGAGTACTCCTCCTCCGACGAGGACCAGGCGACGTTTTACACCGCGCGAAAGACCAACATGTCTTCGTTCAGCCGGAGCACGAGCCAGCGCAGCACCATGGAGTACGCAGTGCCGCCGCCCGTGGCGCCTCCACCTGCTCCCGCGCCCGTGCCGATGCCGCCGACGCCCGCTCCAGCGCCCGCGGCGCCGCCACCGCAAGCGAATCGCCTGCGACCTCCTCGTCCGCCACCGTTGCCGAGGCAGAGACTGCTGCGGCCGATGCCCGCCGAGTCGCCTCCTCCTGCCGCCCTGGCCAATTTAGCTCTGACCAGCCCCCCTGAAGCCTCTGTCCAGAACAGGGAAGCCGAGAGCTCTGGCGTCCAGCCGGGCGGAAGCACCCGGCCGCCCAGTCTGAAACCGCTGCACTGGGACAAGCTCCGGGCCGTCTCCGGCCGCACCACAGTCTGGGACCAGGTCAAGAATTCCGACTCATTCCGGTACGCCCCTCTGCCATTCCTGTTTCCACAGTATCTCGGCGACCTCATTGTTTTCTCACCGAGCTGTTGTTGGCAACCGTGTGGTGATATTTACAGCGTGGATGAGGCGGCAATGGAGAACCTGTTCCCCCAAAACAGCGCCACCGCCGCCGCGGGGAATTCCGGTCAGGCGGCAGCGAGAGGAGGGCAGCACAGCCGGCTGCTCGACCCAAAGAGGCTGCAGAACGTGGCTATCATGCTCAAGGCGCTCAATGTGACCGCAGACGAGGTGATCGGAGCACTCGTGCACGGTGAGTTTGCACACTCTTATTACCACTTCCTGCTTGTTCAGGTCCCCTACCACAACTGTCCTTGTGGCGCTTGCAATTCTGTCTTCTGTTCTCTTCTTGTGCAATTCCGGAGGCCACATGTAATGCCAGTGCATGAGTACAATCTAGTTATTGCTGAACCAAGTACATTCAGCAACTTGGCAAATGATTGAAGACCACTGGTTGGTCCACAATGCCAAGTCCCATACCAGTGCTACATAAGAGGGTTGCAAAGGATTGATTGGGAAAATTTCACCCTGACAGGTTTACTTGAATTGGTAAAACTTTCACATTCAGAATAGATAACCCGTGCTATGATTAAGCTGGTCCCGTGTTTTGTTCCTTCCAAATGGCCCTGTCATGGTGATCACGAAACTACTAGATACATGAACTGCAAGCCATTATTGTGCCCATCGGTGGTTATAAGAAGGTCCGCGTCACACCTTTCACATGTTTCATCAAACCGTTTTCTAGTCGTATGTTTCACACAGGAATTTTGCGCCCGAATTGGCGAAACACGTCACCATGTTCACCAAATACGCATATACTATACCTTGAAACCCGTATAATTATCAGGCAGAGCAATCCAGCGATTGTCGTGTTGCTCACCTAACTAATATACATTCCTAACATACCGGGAATCTTTCCCACTTCCCTACATGACACCTTTTCTTTTATTTTGATGTGAGCTGATAGTGAAGGCTCGTATACTTGTCCTGCCTTTTGACCTCAATTGTCGCATTCAAGATTTTTCTCTTGGGTGGGAGGTTGCTTTCACGATCAAATCCTCTGGATGCAGTGCGTTCCAACAAGGATCATTCTTGCATTTATAAGCTTATGTTGGTGGATAGTTGAGTTTCCAGAGCTGAGGGCCTGGACCGCGGGACGCATCTGACCAATGAAACGCATATTTTTTCTTCCTTCTGTGGTTAAGTCTTGATTAGTTGGTGTGGATATCTTTGTGAACAATCGGTGATATATCATCATTAGTCATGTCAATTTAGGCAATAGTAAGATTGTGGGGCAGATTAGGACATGTATTGGAGAGGAGATCTGCATCTTTTGACAAGACACAAGTGCTTTACCTTTACCTTGAGATATATGATGTGTATATTTTCGATTTGGTATCACATACAGTTACCGGTATTAATTGTTTCATGTGAATGAGGTGTCAGCTGCGTTGAATTTCTACATTTTTTTAACATACAAAGTTAGAAGTCATTCCCTGCTAATTTTGACTTGCCCCTTCATTGAAGATTTTTTTCCTCAGATTATTCATCACTTCTTGTCAACTTTTCTCTTTTATTTTCTCTCGAGAAACACTATTCTCTTGTATTGTGTCGCAGAAGCATCACTTTCGTCATTGTCCTTTAGGGATATTATTGAATGCTAAATCTATTGGAATATTATTGCATACTTAATCTGTTGCCGGTGGACAATCTCGTTTGATCCTCTCAAACTTTTGTTTCGTAGATTGCAATTAGTTTGATAATAAAAAAGGGCAGCCCGGTGCATGTAGCTCCCGCTTGCGCAGGGTCCGACCATTTTGGGTCTTTAGTACGCAGCCTTTCCCTGCATTTCTGCAAGAGGCTGTTTCCAGGACTCGAACCCGTGACCTCATGGTCAAAAGGCGACAGCTACATAAGTATGAGGTTATTTCTTTGGACAATAGTACATATGAGTTGTTGGGATATGATCACTGCTCAATTTGTCGTTTGGTAGAAGTAGCATACATTTTCCAGGATTTTAGTGGGAGGTCCTTTGGCCATGCACACCTTCAGACATATTCAGCCCCATAGCTGGTTCTGAAAGTGACTGGTGTATTATGAGTTATATCGCTAGTTTGCATATCGTTGTTATGAGGTGTCTTCCATGTGTGCTATTACATCAACTAGAATGATTAGCAAGGCGCTGTTAAGAGACAGGAACTTATTTTGTTAGAGAGATTCTGTAGAAAACGATAATGCTGTGGATGACATAGTAGTGGGCCTATTACTCTGTTTTTGCTTCAATTACGATGCCACTTGGAAGCATTCATTAGCTTATTTTTGTTTTTGGCAATGACATTATCTATGAATGTTTGATCCAACAAACTTTTTTCTACAACCTTTTTTTATTGTGCTCAACCAACAGATCGCATCTGTACATTTATCATAAATTCAACTTTCAAGAATACTGTTCACTCTTTACAGCATCGAATATATATAACTCATGTGCTACATGACACAATAGAAAGTTCAGTACTACTTGTGTAATATAGTATAATGCTTTGATATTTTAATGTTGTATTAAAGGTGTGACTTTTCATTAGAAAGAAAAGAGATGGACAGCAATGTTCAGACTTCAAACTGCATTCATGATCCTCCTTTTGGCAATGCATTTTTTTTCTTTCCTGTTTCAGTTGTTGACATAAATACTAAAATGGTAAATCCTCCTTCTGGCATGTTGTTTAAATCAGGAAGTCAAGTCCACCTGAAATTGATTTTTTTTTAATGTTTGGAGTTTGTTTTATCGACCCTTCGGCTATCTGAATTATGACAGTTTTGACTCCATGAATAAACAGGAAATCTGGAAGATAAGCCTGAGTTGTATGAAACACTAGCTAAGATGGCACCAACAAAAGAAGAAGAGTTAAAGCTGAAAGATTACAGCGGTGACTTATCAAAAATTGATCCAGCAGAGCGCTTTCTAAAAGACGTCCTTAATGTTCCCTTTGCCTTCAAGAGAGTGGATGCAATGCTTTACAGAGCAAACTTTGATGCTGAAGTGAATTATTTAAAGAAATCTTTTGGAACTATGGAGGTAACTAGCTATGATGAATTGATGATTACATCTTATAGTCTGCATTTTACAGTACTTCCTCTTATATTTTCTTTTTTGTTAGATTTTTTTGACGCGTTCTTTTTTGTTAGATAAATCAATCATAAATGCTTCATGCTTCACAGAATAAGCATCTGACAATATTCAAGTTTATGGTGCATTGGTTGTTAGCAGTCTTTTTTGAAGTTCATCCTTTATTAACTTCTTAGGATATGTACCAGTTTGTGTCTAAATAATTTATGACGTACTAATATTCAGGCCAATGTCAAATATACATTTTCAGGCAGCTTGTTCAGACCTAAGAAGCAGCAACCTATTCTTGAAGTTGCTGGACGCTGTTCTCAAGACCGGGAACCGCATGAACGACGGCACCAACCGAGGCGAGGCGAGGGCCTTCAAACTCGACACGCTTCTAAAGCTCGCCGACATCAAGTCAACCGACGGTAAGACGACGCTGCTCCACTTCGTGGTTCAAGAGATCATCCGGTCAGAAGGCTTCGACTCCGACCAACCAGAAACCAACAATCCTGGCACTGGCAGTGCCAGCAAAGAACGGTTCAAGAAGGACGGCCTGAAAGTGCTGGCAGGGCTCAGCAGCGAGCTCTCAAACGTGAGGAAGGCGGCCACGCTGGAGATGGACACGCTGAGCGGCAACCTGCTGAGGCTGGCGACCGACCTCGAGAAAGTGAGGCTGGTCTTGCAGCTCAGGGAGACGTGTGCCCGTCAGGAAAGCTCCGGCGCGGGGTTCTTCGAGTCGATGGATGGTTTTCTTGGAAGGGCGCAGGCGGAGATCGGGAGCATGAAGGTGGCGGAGAGGGGCGCGTTGCAGCGTGTGAAGGAGACCACGCAGTACTTCCATGGTGATGGCAACATGGAGGAGCCTTCTCAGCCTCTGAGGGTGTTCATGGTGGTGACAGAGTTCCTGTTGATACTGGACCGCGTGTGCCGGGACGTCGGCAGGACGCCGGAGCGGGTGATGATGGGGTCCGGCAAGTCGTTCCGCGTCAGCGCCGGCACCTCGGTGCCGCCTCGCCGGTATGATTCGCGGACGCTTAGCTCGTCGGACGAGGACAGCTCGTCGTCGTAGAGCAGCAGCTTAGAGGAATGTCCCTTTTTTTTGGTGGGGTGCACAGGATAGTGCTAGTGGTGATTTTGAGGGCGGTGATTCTTGCACCCTCAGGGCTTAGAAGGGGCCGTTACTTTACTGTGTAATAGTACTAGATGTCTACAAAGGTTAAAAATATAGCTGTACAAAGACAAAAGTTTTTCTTGATTCTTACATATATGGGGGGAATGGGAAATTGTTCAGCTCACCATGTTATTTTACCTGTCTCGTTGCTTCCCTTTGTGTAGTTCTCAGTATTAGTCTGCACAGATTGAAGAATGAAATGCGCCATTAGTCCATTAACTCAAACAAAATGAACTAGCCATGGTTGCACTTGCATGAGTGTCCTTCTGAATCTGCTGATCAGGATGAAGTTTCCGAAAATGTAGAAATAAAGTTCAGCTTTGAAACAATTTACTAAGCCGTCTTTGCAGATCGACCCGACTAGTCATAAATCGTGGAGGTGGAGCTACCCGCAGCCACTGCATGATCAGATCAGGTCGCTGAGGTTGAGGTTGGGGGGTTGCTGGGCAAGGGACCGATAGGTAGGTACGATGGGAATTCTGGTGTACGAAAAGGCAGAGGAATACCACCACTACCAAAGCTATGACAACGAGGAGAACAAAGGAAGTAAAGTGCTTGCCGGTGATGGGCACGAAAAAGAGGCCATGGGACGGGAGATGGCGACGCCAAAGTGATGATTCCCGTTGTGTATTTTTGTGTGTATGTTTACTGCCTCGTGAACGTTGCTGTGCAGGAGTAGAATACGCGTAGCACGTTGCGACCATTTACGGCCTCTGAAAGCAAGGATGGGATGGACTGTAGATTTGTCTGATGGGCGCTAGTGCGCTGCTGCAGAAACGGCGTTGAGTTCATAGGGAACGAACGATCTATTCTGAACCTGGTGTGCTGATCGAGTGATCGGAGTGAGGAAGCGAGACGAAGGGAGAGGGCAGGCAGTGCACCGATCATGGCGTCCTTGCGCGCCCGGTACCGGAACGAAACTTCCGCCGCCGGGGGCGGCGCCGGCGCGGCCAAATTTGACGCGAATACACGGAAAATTCTCCAACAAGCCGGGGGCTGCTACGCGAGCCCTTCTAATTTTTTTTTTGAGGGGTAACCCTTCTATTAAAGCGAGGACATAGTCAAATCACCCGCAAAAAAAACAAATCAATCGTAGCTCTTCTATATGGGCCGGCCCAAAAGCTCTTCCTCCTCGCTCCTGAAAATACACTCGTTTCACAAAGACAAAAATCACCCCTAAAGAAACAAAGACAAAAATCAATTTGTCTAAAAAAAGAGACAAAATCAAAGCTCCTCGCTCCCAAAAAAATCGGTTCCCGTTCTAGAGCCGGATTTAAAATACATTGTTTAAATAAAGTCATCTAAAATACACTCCTTCCGTTTTTAAATATTTGAAGTTTTGGGTTTGTCCTAAGTCAAACATCATTAAGTTTTTGTTTTTGGGTGAAAACACCGTTAACTATGACCATGTATAAAAAAAGATATACTAACATCTACTACAATGTAAACTACTCCCTCCTAAAGAAATATAAGAGCGTTTAGATCACTACTTTAGTGATCTAAACACTCTTATATTTCTTTACAGAGGGAGTATATATAGTATGAAAATATATTTTATGATGAATATATTGGACCTAATTTGATGTTATAAATGTTGGCATATTTTTAAATAGACTTGGTCAAAAGTTTGACTTAGGACGACCTAAAGCTTCAAACATTTTGGAATGGACCAACTACATACGAAAAAAAATGTTCATCTCATATTTTTAACATATACTCATGTTTAGGGAAAACATATTATTTACCCCCAAAAATGTCCATGTGTTATGCAAAACAGTTCATTGAAACTTCTTTACGTTGTCTTGTATATGGACGAGACAAAGTCTTTTTTTTTGCGGGGAAAGAAAAAGCTTGCTTATCTTTCATTGACTAGCAAGAGGCTCATGCGTTGCACGGAACATCAAGATGCATTGTATGAGTAGCTTATCTTGTGGAAGAAAATGATGAATGAGGAAAGGCCTTATTTACAAATGTGAAGAGGGTTGTGGGTATCTTGTTGCAAAATTGCCATAGTTTTCTTCCTATTCGTCAGATATAAATCGGGCGGTTTATATTACAGGATGGCAGACACACCATCATCATCAATTCTGTTTTTTATAAGAGTAGAAATAGAAGAGAATAAAATGAGTGCAAAGAGGAGATACAACACGACACAAAATGCAAGTAGACATGAACATGGTACCTAGAGCAGAAGGACCAGGGATGCTTGGTCCAAACTAGTCCTGGCCATGGGAAGCCCGGCCCGGCCCGAAAAAGCCCGACCCGGCCCGGCCCAACGCTGCTCCCCGGCTGGGCTGGGCCCGGGCCTATCGGTTTTGCGCTTTTCTGAAGGGGCCCGGCCCGAGGCCCGGTGAGCTTTTACGCATTCGGGCAGGGCTCTGGCCCAAAAAACAGGCCCGATGGCCGGGCCGGGCCTGGGCCTAGTTTTTTTGCTTCGGACTTGGCTAGGCCCGGCTCGAGGTTTGGCCAGGTATAATCCAAACCAAGGATACTATACAGCTAAAACCACAAAAGCCCCAATTTAGAGGGGCAAGCGAACCAACACGAAGCCCACCATCGCCAAACCCCTGGGGATACCGCGAGCGACCAATACAACACCTTCATGAAGGGAAAATGACCCTGTGATGCCGTCGTCATCCAATCCGAAGAACCGGACCTAAGGTTTCCCCTAAACTCGAAGAGGGAGGCGCGGGAGGAGGCCATGATGCGCCTCCAAGAAGGAAAATGACACCTGTGGTGTCAGCAGCGAGACGAGAAAAAGCAACACACAGATACGAACGGAACTAACAATGGCCGATTTACAAGGCTGATGTCAGTCGACAGAGCCTAGCCACACTATTTCTACAAGGTGATGGTGAAAACTTTTCATGTAGATTGACTAACCATCCATGGATCGATGGAATCATCGAGTGAATGATGAAGCCATCAGATGGAAATAGTACATCCGGCGTGGCGCAACAGAGAAGACGAGAGGAATACATAAAGCTTATTCATCTTTGCTGCGGCGCAATGGAGATGGGCAGATAATGGCCTAGAATTTCATTTCTTGAACTTGTGATATCGTTGCCATTTTACTGATGCAATCTAAATATTGTTCGTGTCACTTTGCAGATGTTTGAATGAGAATGAATGTGAAATACATATGCTGTTTCCTCTTGCATGTTTAATATATGACACTATAATATACTGTTATATGATGTTTCTACTCCCTCTGTACCAAATTACTCGTCGTGGTTTTAGTTCAAAGAAAGGGTAACACTCCAGGCGGCTTTCAATTTCTTGAACTTGTGATATCGTTGCCATTTTACTGATGCAATCTAAATATTGTTCGTGTCACTTTGCAGATGTTTGAATGAGAATGAATGTGAAATACATATGCTGTTTCCTCTTGCATGTTTAATATATGACACTATAATATACTGTTATATGATGTTTCTACTCCCTCTGTACCAAATTACTCGTCGTGGTTTTAGTTCAAAGAAAGGGTAACACTCCAGGCGGCTTTCAATAAAAGCCATCTGCAATAAGGACTATCCCTGCCGACTTACAGTAAAAGCCATGCCTGAGCCGTCTGCGATGGACCTTTTGTAGTGTAATAATGGTTGTGATTGTTCTTTATGTCTAAATACTCTCTGACTAGTCAATGGTAGCAATTGCATCAAGCATAATCTGGCATGAACTTCTTAAGGAATCTTATTGGTTGAGATTCCTCAGGTACGAGCTCGTCAAAAGAAACGTAGTATCTCTCTTTGTCATACACATGGCACGTAGTCAGTATTGTCTTCATCAGCCGCCAATTCCAGCTGGCCTCGTTGATATACTGCAGACACAAGACATGCGGGGAGCACAAATGAAGCTATGATGTCAAGGCCCAGAGAAAATGCACAAAACTAGAAGGAGAAGTATCAAAGCACCTTGCCCCAGTTCTGTTTAATGGAGTTGTGGGCAGCACGAAGGTTATAACTTGGAATTCTCGGAGAAATATGGTGCGGGACATGTACGTTTATGTCATGGCAAAGGATCTCTATCCTGTAAATGTACAAATATGTTAGCCAGATAAAACTCAATTTCAGAATCAACATGTTTCCAAGACAAGTTGGCTAGACGGGAAAAGGAAGATGATTTGATTTACTCATGTTTATGTCTCCAAGACAATTTGGCTAGACGGGAAAAGGAAGATGATTTGATTTACTCATGTTCACCTAAAGTTCAAAAAAAAAAAGTTGGAACTTACACTCAGTACTCACAGTTTCGCATACATCCTTTATCACAGAATATTCACAAAACATTCCAAGATCCATTAGTAATGCACTAATATTAGATGCACTTCAGCGAAGTGAAGTTGAGTACCATTCTATTCGTACAGAACTAGGACCAGAACTCCACAGTTCAATTAAGCCTACTTAATTTACAATCAAAACTGTACTTGGAAGGCCCCATCATATCCTCTCATGGCACTTTACCCAAAATGAAAAATGATTTGCAATCCAGAAACATAAAACAACATGCTGGTGTAGTTTCTTAATTTTCAACTGAAAGGCAAAGAAACAAATGCACAATATGCGTCGTTTTATTTGAATGCAAAGTCTTTGTTTTATCTTGTCATACTAATTCCATATGCAATGAGAATCAATATGGAGAACACTTCCTGAAAGTTTGTTTAACATATATGATCATAACAAGAGTCCTAATATGCATGTAAACAAAACTGAAAGCAAAGATAAATAATGTGTACCATCGAGGATAGCTACAGTGAACTGTGCCGTTTAATTGCGCCTGTGCAGCATTCCACTCTTTTGATGATTTGAAAGGTATATGAGGAGCAGTGTGATGTACCATCGTAAAGGTGCTCATCTGAAGCAAATAGTTTAAAGAACACAAAGTTAAGTTAACTTACAGTACGCAAACTCATAAACAATGAAGTCGATATTTCGTAACTTGGACCAATATCATTATCTTTTTATGTATGCATTCCTTGTTCTGTCAGTGTCTTCGAGGCTTCTAGCCAATTTAGTCACTGCAAGTATTGCTGGGAGTTAATTCATTGTTGATCACAGGCGAACTTTGCTGCAGTCGATTCCGATAGGTGCTGTACACTGTCGTTTTGTGGTCAAAACCATCGCCGCTGTTGATATTGGAACAGCCGCCTCCCTGACGACCGGCCTAACCGCCATCTTCTGCCACCGCAGCCGGCTTCGCTGCCGCGCCGCCTCGTCACCCTGCCCTTCCCCAGCCACCTCCTCTGCTGGTCCGCCGCCGCCCGGCTATCCCTATAAACTCGGAGGGCCAGATTCTTCGCTAGCGCCGGTGTGTCACCCCCAACCCTAATCCTAAGTCGGGTCAGGGTTCGTCACTTCTCACCTGCCCTTCTCCGCCACGACTAGCTGCAGCATCGCCGGCTGAACCTCAGTATGCTGCTCGCCTGCGCTGCGGCCTCCGCAGCATCGCAGGCTCTGCCTTGTCCTGTGCTTGGTTGACATAAAGGAGTGGGTGCTATATGCCCGAATTGTTCGATTCAACCGCACCCCATGGTCGAATGCCGAAAAGTTTCCTTGGCTAGTACTCCCTCCGTTCCAAAATAAGTATTATTTATACTTTATAGTGTAGCTGCTGTTCGCAGCATTGGAAGATCAAAATAAACTTGTCTTTATGAAGACTACTAGTCTGTACCTTCCTAGTTCGTACTAAGATCACTGGGTGCAGAGAATTGGTATTATTAAATAAAGGAAAATCCTATGGCTCCGATGGGATAGTTCCATTTACATCTAGAAATTCGGCAAATTCTAGGTGGAAGCTTGCACAATTGGCAGTCTTCTAGATAATCTGGTGGGCTCAAGTGTTCATTATTCAATTACCATGAATTTTAAATTCCAGTTAGTATAATATACTTCCACAGCTGAACAGGATAACCATGAATTTGGATACTGTACATCTGCAGTATTCCCTCCGTTCCAAATTATTTGAAGTTCTAGCATTGTCCTAAGTCAAACTTCTCTATATTTGACAAAATTTACAGAATTTTATTTTGCTATAATATCTGCTACATGCGAGCATTCCTGCTCCTATACAACTTCTCTATATTGGCATTTGTGTTCTATACTTTTGGTAAATCTAAAGAAGTTTGACTTAGGATAAAGCTAGAATTTCAAATAATTTGGAATGGAGGGAGTAAATGATAGTAACAAAAAACAGCAATGTACCCAAAAGTGATAAACCATCCATGGCATGAACCAAAACTTGAACCAGCCAGCTATTCCGGATTGAAGAATGATTAGGGGCCATCCAATTGCCATGAATGCAAAGACACACGCCAAACTTATCTTCACCCTAGGGAGTTCATTTGGTCTGAATTTTTTCAGATCAAAGTGCCACATCAACCTGACAAGTTACATTGTGAACATAAATGTTATTGCCTGGAGGAATTCATGAAAAGTAATTGAACATAAGAGATGGCCATCAAAACATGTGACTAGAGAGATGTTGGGTAGGATATACCAGTGAGCAATAGACATCCATGGCCTGATAGGACCATAACCAACTATAATTGCCTTCCTTAAGAAAGAAGACGATTCAATTTCCTTTTGCCAAACAGGTTGCCATGCAGTATCTTCTACTAACCTGGAGTTATACCAAGGTAAGAATTTGAATGACCAAAGCAGAACGTGGTTCAAAATGAAAAGGGCTTTCAAATCGCGATATGGCTTTCTTTGAAGTATATGAGTCTTCTTGTTACAGTGCAACGCATGAACTGAAAACATCAAAAGTAAAGTAACAGGCTGATACTATCGACTCATTAACTTGAATGACAGCAACATCATCTGGACCATATTGGAGATGATTATACAGGGAGGTATGTACATACATATTTGTCTTGGCATGATGTCTGTCATGCTTAAATCTCCAAGGTTCATAAGGGTAAATTAATGGCAGGAAGGCTAGAGTTCCAACGATATCCTCCACTAGCTTATTCCTTGAAAATGATTTATGTGCACAATCATGACCTATGACAAAAAACTTCACAAAGACATCAATTAAATCGTGGACATGCCACAAGGACAAAAGCAAGCAGGTGTGCAACACATGTGCAAGCACACCACAGGCAAGTTGGGAGGGAAAGAGAGCTTACCCCGGTCACTGCTGTACCAGCCCATGCCCAAGCAACGGGAAGAAGATACCATGGAGCTTTTGAAATAAGGAAAAGACCGAAAGCATACGAAGTAACTGATATAAGAACAGATGCCCAAGCCTTTACATCATCAATTTCGAAAACCTAGCAGGAGCGAAGTTTTACATAAGAAGAGTTTGAGTACAGGAAACATCAGGAGCATAGCTGGTATTGGCATTTGTCTAGTTGGTACCTCTTTAGGCAGAGTATCCATGACATCTTTAAGAGTAATGTTATCTGGTAGCTGTTCTCCAATTTGTTTGAAACCATAATCTTCAGACATTTGCTTCCTTTTTTCCTCGTCATCAAGCAGTGGTGGAGTAACAGGTAGCACTGCTGCTTGCAACCTTCCCCTTTGTTTCAATGGTAAAAATTGGTGGTGACTTCTCCCGGTGCATAAAGAAAATCTCTTAACAATAAGTGAACCTGGCAAAACATGGGAATGCAACATCCAAACAATGAAATGATGCCGCCAAATAAGAATGAAAATTGGGAAGTTAGATATATAGTCCATCCATTCCGAAATATTTGACGTTCTAGGTTTGTCTTAAGTCAAACTTCTATCAGTTTGACCATGTATATATAAAAAGATATTAATATCTACAACATAAAACATACATAGTATGAAAATATATTTTATCATGAATCTAATGGAACTATTTTGATGTTGTAATTGTTGGTATATTTTACAATAGACTTGGTCAAACATAAAGATGGTTGAATTAGGACAAACCTAGAACTTCAAATATTTTGGAACTGAGAGAGTATATGTGATGAGCTGAGCAATTTCTCAACTATCTCATTTGTATAACAGTCTAATTACGGACGTGCTACAGTATGGATCTGTGCCCGAATCACGCGACTCCTTATTCTTCCTTGTGCAGAGACTTCTCCCTCTGGCGCCACCTCCTCACCTCCTCCTGCTCTGCAGGGTGGCTGCACTGCCTCCTTCTCTCCCACACCTGTTCTGGCTACATTGCTACTGGCGGTGTCAAGTCAGGGCACTGCTCACCAAAATCAGGCCATCCTCTAAGCCTGGCAGGGAGCTCATTACCGATCTTCGGTGTGCCACCTTGTCACTGTTGCCTCTACGGTCGCCGGCGTCGGGGTCAACCCCCTCAACCGCCAGAGTCCAAGCCACAAGCCTTTCTACCGAAGGAAGATTATTTGATATAACTAACCACTTGTAATGCTACATACAAGGACACGGCCTTGTATTCCCGCCATGCAATTGGCAGTACAATTCACAAATTCACAATACCACGACCTCGGCATGGTGATTTCCCATCCAATCCTGAACAGTTATATTCCAGGCAATTCAACGCATTGCTATGTCCACGAGAACAGGGGAGCCGTCTATTTCGCACCACACAAAGGGCCCTACCTTTCCAACCCCAAATGCGAGTGCTAGGACGGCGGTACGGTACCTGACAGAGCTCCCGCGGCCGCTCTCCGCGGCGAGAGGTTCTTGGCGGGTGCCTGGGCATCAACAAGCTCAGGTAAGCGCCTCGCAGGCATTAGCGCGAACAGATGGCGGGCACATAAACAAAGCATGCGCAGGATTAACTGGAACATGACGACAGGATAGGGTTCCTACCCGCCGCAAGGAGAGGAGCTGCAGAGGGGCGGAGAGGCCGCTCGCCGTCGCCATCTGCTCCCGCCGCCGCGGGCAGAACGGGGAGAGTGTGGAGACGGCGGCGGGGAGCTGGCGAGAGGAGTGTGGAGATGGTTTGGATGGGGGAGGGGCCCTGCGCTGGCGTGGTGGTTGTGACGAACGCAGCCCGGCAGAGGCGAGGCGAGCGCGCGGCGCAGATTGCAGCGACGTGGCTGGGGGCGCGATAATGGCAAGAGGACCTGGCAATGGATTTTGCGTGACAAAGGGTTTATATTATTTTTTGCGTCACAAAAAGGGATATAGGAATACGGTTGATAACAATTTTTGACATGAAACCTGCGTGGCCCCGTGAACATAGACCATCAATCAAGGGCGATAAGAGCATCTTCACTCGTTCGGCCTCCGAGCGCACGGTCCGGCGCTACTTTGGCCCTTCGTCCGGCACATTTTGGGCCTTGGGGGTGAAGTAGTTCCCAGCCACGTCCCCAGGTGTCGGCCCAAAGACGTTATAAATTCAAACTTGACATTTTCCACTATCCAAAAAAACGCCACAAGTACAGCGATCAGCGGCTACCACATAGTTCAGCGATCAATAACTCGAAAGTTCGGCGTTAAAAAAGGAAGGACGTGTAGGCAATGCATCAAGCAGCGACGTCCTCCTCCGGCGTTGGACTGGCGGGAGTCGACGTGCGCGGGCTGGTCGGTGACGGCCCGGCTTCTGTGTCGGGCGTCGTGGAGGCGTCATCGCTCGGGCTTGGCGGCGGCGTAGGGGGCGGCGTGGGAGTTGGCGCTGTCGTCGGCGGCATCTGGTTCAAGATGAGGCCGCGCTCCACCAAGTACCACGCCTTGACCTGCTTGTCCATCGTCGACATGTCCGCCCCCATCAGGAATGCCAGGTCGGTATTCCTCTTCTTCGCGGCGACGTTGGTCCGGAGTAGGTCGAGCTTGACAGTGTTGTTCGTCATCAACATCGACCACCGCACCTCGGATTTCTCTTCCCTCTGGGCTGCGTGGTTCTTGGCGTCGGTGATGCACTGCTCGATGGACGTGTGCAGTCGTGCGGTAGCCGGCGCGGCGTCCTTTGCCGCCTTGGCTCGTTTGTTGTCGTCTGGGCCCCAATCAGCCGCGCCCGGCGTCGGCGCGTCCGGCTTGTACGTCTCTTTGGCCTTGGCGAGGGTGCGCCTGACATCTACCCACTTCTCGCACTTCTTGTTCCAGGAGAACACGTGGAGGTACTTGAACTCTTGGTCGGTGCTGCTGTCCTGGCGGTACATGGCGGACATCTGAACCATCTGTGCTGAAGAACAAGTGTCGGCGACGCAAACGGCGAAAAGGAGCGACAACCGGTGACGGTGCATACCTGACCCTCGACGTTGGCGCCGCTGTTCGGGCGAGCCACGACCTCCTCGACGATCCCATGCCATTTGTTGCAGGCCGTTTGGATGTGTGCCCAATGGTTCGCCATGGTCTTCGAGCCGCCCTTCATGTGGATGCCGGCGAAGTAGGGGTCGACCAACTTGCGCTCATCGAACTCCGACTTGATACACTCTCAGTACGTGTCGGCGCTCTGGTTCGTGCCGGTGATCGAGTCGAGGCAGACGGTCTTCCATGCTTCGGCGAGGCACTCGTCTTCTTTGGACGCCCACTTGACGCGCGGCTCGCCGGTCCTGGCCGCCCGCTTCTTCTTTTTCCCTTTCCTCGCCGGAGCAGGCGTCGACTCCTCCTCTTCCTCCTCGTCGTAGTCGATCTCGTCATCCATGTCGCCGGCGAGGTCCATTGTATCGTCTTGCGCATGGAACCCGGGGGAGGCGGCGGCGGCCAAGCCGCTCGTGATGATGTCGTCCATGTCGGCTTCCGTCCCGTCAGGGGGGCCGAAATGCGACGACGAGGCTTGCGAGAAGAGCAGGGCGCCAGGGCGCAGCGGCGGCGTCGGGGAGGCGGCGTAAGCCGGCGGGAAGTAGGTGTACGGGGGTACTGGACGCCGGCGAACGCGGGTGAGGGCGCGCGCTGGGCGGGATGGCCATGCGGAAAGGTAATGTTGGGGTTGAACCCGCCGTGCGCGTCACCATCGGCATAGCCAGGCGAGGGCGCGCACCCCCAGGGTTGTGTCAACGGCGAGAAGCCGGCTGGCGACCCGACGCTCTGCTGGCTCTAGGCTTGCGGGTCGTGGCTGCCGGGTGGATTCATCATCCCCGCGCGAGACGCCTCGGCCTACTCCGTCGCGCGAGACGCCTCTGCCTGCTCCGCCGCAGCCGACGCGGCTGCGGCCCGGGCCCTCTTGGCATTGAGCCTGTTCCGCCGGTCAGTGGTGACAGCCTCCCAGCGTTGAACCTCCTCTTTCCAGTCGGCGTTCGATATGCCCTGTGGTTTTGCCGGCGGCACCCTCGGCTTCCTCTGCTTCAGCTGGGTGGCATCGGCACCAACAGCGGCGCGAGGGGCCATATACTTGTTCGGCGGCATGGCGGTCGGATGGAGGGGAGATGGAGGAGAATGGCGGGAGAAGTATGGTAGAAGGGGAGAATGGAGGGAAAGGGGGGAAGCGGGGGATCAGCAGGAAAAGGGTCGTCTCTCGCCGACATAGCGGACCCACACGCCTTTTCGCTTCGGCCGGCGACCCGGGCGACCCCCAGGGGATTGGGTTTGGCTCGGGTTCACCGACTCTTATTTCGGCCCAAACCGGCGATAAACAAGTCCCTGGGGGAGCGGCTGGGCCAATTTTTCGGTGCCGGCGCTAAAAAAAGGGTCCTGGGGGGCATGTTGGGGGCGCGAGTGGAGATGCTCTAAGGGCATTTATAATGGAAGCATCACCATGGTGCTGCCCCAGGACATCCACATCACTGCACATTAGCATATGGAACTGAGACCACCATAGAGCTTCATATCTATCCAACGCGCATGTGCCCTTGTGACGTGAGCAGTTTCTATTTTTCCCATTCTTTACGATTTCCCATCTCTTCCCCTCATCCTGTCTCTCTTCCCTTTTTGCTTTCCTCCATGGAGAGACAACCTCCTGCGGAGGAGTCTCTCACACCCGCGCAGCACCCGTTTGAGTGGCCACAGTGGTGTTCGAGCCTACCTGGCCTCTAGGGCATCAGACTGGGGCAACCCATTGGCCATGCCCTAAGACTTTAAATTTGGCCCCATATGATCTTGTTGTTTTGGGATGGGACGTGGACTTTTTGCGGGAAGAAACTTTACTCATAAATTCTGGAAACATGTAGAAAGAGCACAACTCTGCTTACGAAGTGCGAAAGGCCCTGTGCTTTAGGGAGACACCCTCATGGAGAAGAAGAGGATGACACGTCGTTTGATTCGCACCTGCAGCCGGGGACTACGCCACTCGAAGCCATGAGGGCCGCCCGTCGCTGGTGGCCGCCACCAATGACGAAGGAACATAACAACACAAGCACGAACATGAATATCAGCATCACACCTGCACAAAGAAGACACCTAGTAGATCCAAGTAAAGCTGCTTCAAACTTCATCTTCCAACCGCCACCGTCGTTACTTTGCCATCTAGGCGGAATGACCGACACAGATGAGCCCTTGTACACAACCTCTGAAGCTCCACAACGACGACGAGGTGCACATCGCTGCAACGGCGGAGCCCGAAGAGCAAAAGTGATGGGGACATGACTACCTTGGATACGACCAAAAATATTGCATACATGCATATTTGTCAGGTGATTTCTAGTGCAAACTATTCAATAATCTATTTATGTTATCCAGAATAAAAATACTTCACACACTTTTGTGTTTTGTCTAATTGTAGGTATACGAGACATTTCTACAATCCACATATGAAGATAAGGGAAAAGGAGAAGTTTAGGTTATGAGTCCTCTCACGTCACTTTTGGGCCAAGAGAAGATAGAGTCCAAGTCTCTCACGTTTTGGATTCAGATTCGGACTACACAGACATACCTGACTCAAAACGTCAACAACTTTTGCATACGGACTCCGAATTGGATGATTCTTTTTTTGTTGGAAAGTAGATTTCATGCTCTTTCCAACCCAATTGGAATCACCTTCAAATTCGCCCGGAGCATTGAGATATCGACGAAACAATCTGACGCTGCAGCAGAATCCGAGTCAAACAACAAGTCCAAAGGTGTTGCACCACCTCCACTTGGGCCCATGAGCCTTGTACGACCTAGGGTTAGTTTTAGACTGCCTTGGGACGTCCTTCCACCTCCTTGGCCGCCACCCCTTGCTCCTATATAAGTAGATCCATCTAGTAACTTTTCCTTAGGACTTGTTTAGTTAAAAGTTAGCCATTGCAACTTCATGTACTTCATTTGTGTCCAATGAACAGACCAAGACCGCTTACGGATCCCCACCATTATCAATACTTCATATATATTCGCAATATTCAGATTTCTTTATCATATTCTTGCTCGTTCTTCGATTGCTTGCAGGAATAGACCTTCGTGGTCAGGCTGACCGTGCTTCCGGCATCGTCAGTAACCTCAGGAGATTGGTTTAGCGATTGCTAAGGCGCAATGTCGTGCGCGTTTGTAGTCGGATCGTGAAAGTCATCTCAACCAAATCGGTAATTATTATCTCATCGAAAGATCGGGACCCTCGCCTCTATCAAGTGGTACCAGGTTTCAGGTTACTCGGTGAGAATTTCCAATTTTTCCTAGATTAGATTTATTTTCTTACCTATTGTCCAAGAAAAATCCACAAAAAATTAGATCTATTCATCCTTTGTCCAAGCCAGTCTAAGCCTTTGCAATTTTCTTTTCATTGCTTGCATATTTGAATTATCGGTTGCATTGTCGTGTCGAGTTGCTGGTCTTAGTGTCTAGTTCGTTCAGAGTTTCAAGTTCTGTTCACATTAGTCACGCCACCGCTGCATCGTTATCCCTTCCGCTGTCCACCACTCATCCATCAATTTCCACCTCATGCTACCCATCATTTATTGTCACAATCATAGTTGAGGTTGTTCACATCTTCGCTAGATCCAATCTGCATCTTATCTAGTTTGTTTTGGAAAGAGGGAGAGAGAAAAAAAAGAGAAAAAAAATTAAAAAAA